ATTTTGTAAGATCTTACTTTACTTTTAAATAAAGTTAGTGCAAAGCTACCGCACGTAAAAAAAAAAAAAAAAAAAAAATAAAATTTTCAAAAAAGGTTCAAATTTTAAACTTTAAATTATATCGGACTTTATTATTTAAAAAATTACGGACGAACATTAATAATATCGATATGGGAAATAAATAAATTTAAATTATTTATTATTATTATTATTATTATTATTTCGAAATCTTTTAATTGTTTTTAATATACAAATATATATATGAACCTAATTTACAAAACAAAAAAAAAAAAAAGGAAAAGGATGGATATATATACAAGAACTTTAATATAAAGTAATATACTAACATTATATTACATATTACATAAAAGAGTGTTTACAATTTAAATCACTCATAGGAAAATTATCATTAGTTTTAGTTTGAGATGTAGAGCTAGTCATGGTAGAAGTATCGCTACCACGTCTAGATTGAGAAATATGAGCAAGAGCTGGTAATAAAGCTTCGCTATCTTCTTGACTAAATTGTCTCTGATGAGTAAATGATCTTTGATGAGTAGGAACAGGAGGAATATCAGGAATTTCTTCAATTATAGGAGTATTAGGGGAAGAATTATTATGTGCAGAACATTTTGAACAATTACTAGTATCATCATTATGACCAGTAACCATATTAGCCCATTCAAAGAAAGTTAACCTTTGCATTGAAACCACCACAAATTTCCCCTTATCTAATTGAAATGAAGCGGTATGTCTTAAAGTGTTCGTTGGCCTTTTAACTTGCAATATAGAAGAGTTAGAGGTTTGTCTTGAATTTAGATTTAGTTGGCGACGTGATGGAGCAGTGGGAAAGGTAGGGGAGGAAGAAGAAGTTGTAAACCATGAATGAGTATTATTCAAACGACGAGAAGGATCATTGTTTGAGTGTAAATAATTAGAAGAAGTCGTTCTCTGTAATATTCTATGATAAATTGATGAAACACTTCTAGCAGCAACTTGTGTCCTAGAAGAGGGTATTGAAACGAAATTGATAGGAGGGGGAACGCCATCACCATTACTATTACCACTCAACCATTCTAAATCATTCGAGTTAAAATTATCCAAGTTTCTGCCTTCAATAACTTTAACGATTTCAGCATCCACGGTAATTAAATATGATTGTGATATAGTAACAAAGCATAATAATAATTCGAAAGGAACTATATCAATTTCCAAATACCCTTTGAACAAAATTATTACTGTTATGCCATTATACAAGAAGTCTATGGTTAAGCGAAGAAAATTCCAATATAACACGGCAGTAAAAAGGGTAGTGCGCCTAGTTGAAGATTGAGTCCTTCCTATTATTGAATTTACCTCAGCAGAATTACGATTGCCATCGTTTAAGATTTGCACCAATCGTATAGTTACAAATGTGTCAATTAAAAGATCCAAACAGATGTAACCTAATTGAAAGTACTTTGATAGAGCCGCACCCAGAGTACAAATAGGTTCGATATTTACTTCTTCGCTAGAATTATTAATTGTCACTATGACTAAAATATTTAAAATGGTCCTGGTGAAAAATAATCCAAGACTGATCCACCTATCCCAAGTAGAATATTCAATTTGTTTTAAACGCCATAATAAAAAGGCGGCTAATGCTGATCTATAAAAGAAGTTCGATAATGTCGTTAAATAATTAAATATTTCACATTGCTTTATTACCATTATTGCTATATAAGTTATTACGCTAAGTGATACCCCACTCAAATTAAATATTATTTTTAGAATATTTGATACATTTACATTTGAATTTCCTGATTTATATAAAAATATTGATACGAATGCATTATGAAAATATGCCTATAAAGAAAAAGATGGTTAGCTTAAGGAAGAAAGGAATTAGTTTAAAGATTATTATTACTTACCATTGATGCCAGACCCAATAGGAATGATATTAGATGATGTAGTAAAGTCGTTTCCATCCTTTTTTTTTTTTTTTTCTTGTTCTTGTGATCAACACAGGATTTTATTTTATTTACGAAGAAAAATGAATTTTAGTTTTTTTTATTGACGAATTGACTTTCTTAAAGAAGGAAAGAGGTGATTGAAGAAAAAATTTAAAAAAGATATATTTGGGATGAATAATAAATTTAATAATAATATTTCAATAAAAATATATTTCCATTAATCAAATAAATCAAAAAAAAAAGTGAAAAAAAAAAAAAAGTGAAAGAAAATTTTTTCAAAAAAAAATTTTGTCAAACCCTCAGCACCCATTCGCATTATATATTTTTTTTTTCCCCATCAATAAATATCTTAAAAGGGAAATCATGTTCTAATACAGCAAGGACTGAATGACTATTTCGGAGTAAAGGTAATCATAATACATAATACTAAGGTTGAAACAATAACATATTCTTCTGTTTACATATTAGAAAACTGATATCATTTTTAAAGTTGGATAATATAAAAAAAAATCGGGAGTTGACAAAAAAAAAAACCACAAACGCCTCCCCTGTAATAAATGAATTTATAATCAAATCAAGTTTTAGTATAGAACAATGGAAATTAGAAAAAAAAATTTATTATTAGTATTATAATAATAGTTTTTTGGGTGTACGTGTGTACGCAATAACTGAAATTAGCTAATTAAAATGAACTTTAATTTACAATTCCCTTTTTTATTGTTTCCCTAAAAATATTTTTCAAACATCCAAAGTATACATATGCTAATAAGGGTAAATGAATATAACGCCTTTATCTGTACCAATTTAAAAATAATGGCATATCTAGACTTAACTTGTACTAATTCATCATGTTACGTAAGCTGTTTTTGGGTTTTTTTCCTACGGATAAATTTTTGTAAATTACGAGCTATCGTTATCTGATCCCTTACGAACATATCTACAAGTTCTTGTATCAATCTTATCTTTAATATTTAATCACGATCACTAAATTTGAGTGTTGAGGCTTTGATGTCTTATTTGGATTGTGCCGACTTCGGTTTTAACTTTCCTATAAGGCATTATTAGACTTTATCCTTTTTTATTTGCTTCAAATGCTGCTCAATTTTTTCGCATAAAAAAACCGTCGCACATTTTATCGTTTCTAGATTAAAGAAACATATATCGTTCTTATCTTATTAGACATTTTTTTTTTAAAATAAGTAAAAAATAGTTAATTAATTTAAGAATAAAATTTAATAATATTAAATAATGTTATAAGACCATTTTAAATATAATAATGATATTATTAAGATACATAGTATAAAATTAAATCAAAACATATTATTATAATTAAAATCAGTAATTTAAAGCTATAAAAGATATATTATTATTATTATTATAATGAAATATATTAAAATAATAAAAATAATAAAATAATTTTTAGAAATTACAGATATAATCATTATTATTTTATATATTAAAAAAATGTTTATTACTAAAGTTATTGAAGAAATGATCTATGCTAAAAAAAAAAAAACTGTATAATCAAATATTATAACCTAAAATTTATATGTTTAGTAGATTATAATTAAATATATTAAGATTTAAATTTTTTTACTATACCATACTTCTTTTTAAAATAAAATGATACATCATTAATAGATAATAAAAAATTAATAACAATTAATATTTACAATTATTTCTTAATAGAAGAAATCCATTAAAAGTTTATATTATACTAAGGAACTGTTATTAAGTCTAGAATGATCTTAACTAAAAAAATTCACACTGGTATTTGCTTTATCTGGACTTTATTTATGAAAATTTAAATATCAATAAAATAGCTAAACAACTTTCTATTATTAACGGAGCAATTGACCAGTCATAATAAAGTCACATGGATGACACAGTATAACAATCTCTTAATTCAGAATTCTGAAAATATTAAGAATTCTGCGAATTCTGAAAATACAGAGGATTTACGTAATTCTAAAGATCTTCCAAATACTGATGATAATCCTAATTTTACGAATTAAATGAAGTCTAAAAATATTTAGTATTATACTTATTTTTAATATTCTAAATTTTATTGTTAT